TGAACAAACATTGAATCAAGTTTTCTGATTTACATGACGTAGGAATTGAGCAATCCACTTGGGAGTGCGCACCTGGTGTTCATTCCAGAGGCTGTTGTCGACGAACCCATCAACCGTCTTTCACAATCAAAAAAGTGGAGAGAAGATTATTCTAGAGATTTACGAGTCCAAATGATTGAACATAACTCATTTCATTACTATATCTACGAGCCTCTTCAGCTTCTTTCCGGCGAGCGAGTTGTTCTTTTTTTTTTTTATCAGCAAAAAGGTGTCATTTTTTCGAAATCTTTCAAGTTATTTGATCAACCATCTGGATTATATACTGGTCTCAAACTCTCAATCCCAGAAGAAGAAGACTGGAACTCGGAAAATTATGAAATTATTTCAGTTGATCAATTTTATCGTCCGTATCCAAACTTGGAATTATCAGACGGTTCAATGCTGAAAGATTTTTGTAGTAACACACTGTTTCGTGAGTTTCTTCCTGTTGTCTTTCTATTCAGTATGCTGAATACACATCTTTTTTATGATTCAGAACCAGACGGCGAAAATGTTTTGTCAATTCCACTTCCAAATCCTTGGCGAATTCATGCAAATGGGTTGTTAATTCAACAAATACCTATGATAATTTATTCGGACGATACTTCTGGAAACGTGTCAAAGAAGTGGAACAAGCATATGTCTATATATACAATACTTGCCGGTCTACCGGCTAAGCTTGCTAATCAAGAGTTCAACATACACTTTGTAGCAACTACAAACACTGCGAACGCACTTGAGCTTTTTGGTAGGATTGTAGATGAATTCAAGTATGTGTAAAAACTTTTAAAACTTTTTCTATATTGTCTTGAAACTGATTTTAATCTTTATTTTTTAGTCAGATGAGCAGTGAAGGATTTTTAGCATACAATTCAACATTAAAGAAAGACGTTTATGTAACAGCTTTACCACTTTATCATTGTGGCGACTCTCCAATGCATGCCGAAATTTCCAACACACCTAATCCATCAATGATGCTCAACCCTTGCCGTATATGCGATTTGAGTGTGGAATCTAAAGAAAAAAAGAAAACAGAAACTTATGTACAAGATTTCTTAGGTTTGAGCGCTGATGGTTCAGTAGTATGTGATTTGCTTTTTTCTCAAAAAAAGAACCACTTGACTGATTAGATCTTTTCATTAGAAACCTTTCAAATTTCGTGATTGGGCTATCACAAAAGAACATACAAAGGAGCTATGGAAAATAGTTCGAAAACCAAGATCCGGAAAGAAGTTTAGTGACTTGGCAAAAAAATACGGAATACGAGATAGCATAAACTTAAAATTTATTCAAATGATTCGAGATATGCCTACAGCAACCGCAGAAGATCGACAAGCTATCATAGAAAAATGTGAATTGCTTGATGAGGAGTTTGGTGACTTGTTGTTTAATCCGCTCTTGGATCTCAAAGGTTTTTATTTGATTTATTCCATCTGTATATTTTTCATGTACATTCATTAAAGCTGAAATTCATTTCTTCAATAGGTTTTGATGGTCACTTAGACACTCCAGTAGAGACTCTACATGTTGTCCTTCTTGGAATTACTAAATACCTTTACGGTGATGCAATTTCGTCTATTCCTGACCGTCATCATCGTAAACTCAAAGCACGATATGCGTCTTTCAACATTTCTGGACTCAACATCGCGCCAATCATTCCTCGAACTATGATTGACAACGCCAAAAGCTTAGTTGGTAAAGAATTTGCTGTTGTTATGCAAACCGCGGCCTTTGTACTTTTTGAATATATCGACGAAGAGCACCGTCTACTCTGGAGCTATCTTTCTAATCTTGGCTCTTATATCTTTCAGCCTGAAATTCCAGACATTTCCGTTTATCTTGCGGAACTTGAGGTTCTCATCCGACGCTTCTTAAATCAACTTATTTCTCTCAATGCGCAATGGACAAACAAGCCTAAATTTCACATGCTACTTCATCTCGTACATTCAATCGAGCGTCTTGGTCCAGCTATCCTTTTTGCAACTCAAAAGCTCGAAAGCTTCAACCGTGTCACACGCGATGCATCTGTCCATTCGAATAATCAAAGCCCATCACGTGACATCGCCATAACCTCGACCACTCATCGTCTCTTCCGAATTTTATTCTCTGGAAGTAATTTCTTTGATAAAGAACTTGGTGCAAATCTTCGAGCAGGACCAAAGGTTCGGGAGCTGTTTGAAAGCAACAAAATCATCCAGAAGGGTTTAGGTTTTGATCCTGATTGGAACAAGAAGCCTGAAATCAAGTTCATTTGTGAGTGTATCATTTATCTTCTTGCTTCAAAAATTCACACTCATATTTGGGGTTTTGTGATCATTGTTGAATCAGATTCCAAGAATTCTTCTAATTGTCCAGAACAACTCAAGCAAGTATTCCCTCGACATGAATGGAAATCTGTTGAAACAGCTATTCTGAGCAAGAACCAAAAGGTCAAGGCTGACACTTTTGTATTTGTTTGTCCAATAATCTCATCTTTCTCTGGTCCAAATA